TGTAAGTGTATCAGGTGATTGATTGTTTTTGTATTTGTATATGTATTACTACATATTTGTTTTAATTGTTAATTATACTTTCTACTATTACAACTAATAGTTTTGCCCTTATAGAGTTCTAGTTTCTAACTGGTACTATTGGAAAGATTCTATTTTTCCTATTCGAGACTTCAAGATGGGTTTCCAGTCCTTACATCCAGATTGGGTAAGTTCCTAGTCCTTTATTGGTTCCTTATCAGCACCTTTTGTAGGACTTATATCAGATTTATATCCACCTATTGCCACCTAACCAGATATATTTCTTAATGTAACATAGTACATTACACCAAAGCCAGTGCCTAGGGCTACAGGGCCAGAGCGCGAAAAGCAGTACCAACAACTTTACAGGATATGGTTGACCATTATACAGGTCGTATAACACCAGATATATTTATTATATATTTGAAAATCATTACCAATAGGATTTGAACTCTAAACCTGGCCATCTCAGATGCAACAACTTAACCACTTCACTAAGTCGCCATATCCTTGACTTATTTTGTTGATTTTCTCAGCAAGTTTTAAAGCTATCTGCTTGAAACTTTAGGAATTTATATATTTATTATTAGAAACAAGTTTACTTAGAATGCCAAGTGCACTATACTTAGTAAAAATATTGAGATATTAGCAGATTATATTTGCTAATTTGTAAGAATAAAGAAAGAATATGTTGGCATTGAATTAGAATGAGGTAATATATAAGAGGAGTGATAAGAAAGATGTAATAAAGATAGTGTGATAAAGAATGTAATTGTTAGGTATTGTGATAACAAAAAGATATTTGAAATAATATGTATTAATTGGCAAATAAATTTGTAAATATATAGATAAATATAGAGTATAATAAAGTAAAATATGTAATAAGATTGTTACAATAAATTTAGTTAATAAATAATAAAATTTATGTTAAAAACGTTCAAAATTTGATATTTTTAGGTATATTTTAGTTAAAAATAGTTTAGAATAATGTAAGATAAGAATATACAAAATTTGTAATTGGTGTAATACAGCTATTTACTAATTAATAAATAATTTGTTTGTATTAAATTGATTGTAGAACTTAGATTATTTGGATATTTTGTGACTTGTATTGTGTAGATTTAATTAAATCAGTTTAGGAAATGATATGTTGTTACACAAAAAATGTCCTAGTAAGAATTTTGGAGGCAAAATAGAAAAGAATAAAAAAAAAAAATTTTATAATAAAGAAAGAGAATAAGAGTTATTTTAGAGTATAATTTAGTCAATATTAGGGTTATAGGTTTTGTTTAAACTTTGTTTTGATTAGAAAAGTATGTTAAGTAATTTTTATTAGAAGTGTAGAGTTAGTTGTAAAGGTAGTTTTTTAGAAATAGTTAAAAGTTTAGTTAATTATAGTTAAAAAACATTTTTTTG